GATAAGAATATCAATACTAAAATATTCAGGACAGTTTCTAATATACTGCAGAAGGCATGCTATCAGGGAAAGACTAGGCAGTGAAGAGGAAAAAGAAATAAATTGGTGATGTCCCTCTGGCTCCCTTTTTCCTCCCTTCCACTTCAAATCATTTATTAGTAAATTATGTCTCTTAGTGAGCTGACCAGCACTTGGAAATCTTTCCATGGTATACCTCAAGGGCAATAAGGACAATGTGATCACCATAGGCAGAGGCGTCTTCTCATACATTGTTTTTTTGTGTCTTGAAGGGAATAAAATTATAACCAAGTTCATTCACCAAGAACTCACTTTTCAGAGAAGCAATGAAGAGTAGTCAACTAAATGCCCAATTTGGAATTCAGGAAAACCTGGGTTTGCATCCTGACTGTGACATGTACTCACTGTGTGACCATGGGCAAGTCATTTAATCTCTTTACACCTCAATTTTCTTATCTGTAAAATGGGGACAATAGCAGCAACTTCTCAGGGTTATTCTAAAGAGACAATGTTGAAATATGCTCTGCAAATCTTAAATTGTTACATGAATGTCAGCTATCATTATTTGATATCTTCAAGGCTGCATTCCTGGTTATTTCTGTGACACACACAATTAAACATGGCAGTGAAGGGACAGAGAATATTAAGGGACACCAGGTATTCCAAGGACATTTCCAAGAAGCAATAGCAGTGGTTTCAGGGAACCTGAAGGCATTTAAGGAAGCAAGTATTTGGGGCATATGTCAGTTGGAAGGTAGCATAGTTAAGTTTGTTCTCAGGGGGGAGGATGGGTGCACCTCCTGCTGGTCAGCAAATGAGGTCAAGTTAATGACAGTCTGAGGTGAACACAAGTTTTATTTCTTGGCCAGGGCTGACAGCACAACTGTCAGGAAGGCACACAGGGTGATTTTTAGGAGTGAGGAAAGAAGGGCAAAATGCTTGTAAAGTGCTTAAGAAGTACTTACAAACGTTGAAAAGGGGCAAGGTCTTGGAAAGGAGTGCCAACTTTCCAAACCAAACCTCTGCCATGCGATTCTATTTGCTGAGCTATAACTGAAGATAAGTTTCTGGTTGAACTGTGCAGTACAAGGTCTGACTTTTGCCAGAAAGAGTCAAGTAAACATGGCAGAGACATATTTCTCTCCTTTATGGAATATTGGCTTTTTGTTTCCCTGAAACTGTGTCTCTTTCCCTACCTGGAAGCAGCTATAGTCATAATTGTATCAAACAAATGCAAAATAGATGAATTAGTCTGGAAGGTACTTAGTATCAACACATGATAACCTAGATCCAGCACTAAATATGTCAATACAAATGTTTTCTTTCTACTGTATTCACTTCATTCCTTTGTTTCAACATAACTTTTAGAGAATGAGGTAATAATCTGGAGAGGCATTAAAAATGGAACAGCTGTTTTTACTAAGCAAAGTACCTTCTTACTATGATCCAATACTACTTTCAGATGACAAAAACAGTACTGAGATAAAGTTTTCAAGAGAGGAGGACAGAACTGGTCTAAATGATAACCTAGAGCCCTCACCTCAACTATCTGTGTCATCATAAATTGTGGCCTACATAAAGATTCACATCATGAAAGGAAATGATCCATCAAATGTCAAAAATAATCTATTTCCTTTTCATTTTAATTGCGATCAGCCTCTGTGAGGTTTTTTACTTATTAAATTGTTTTTAAATTTTAGAAAGGGGGGTCCCTATGAAAAGAAAGGAAGTTTGGCATAAGGGATAGAGGATTCTGTCTCAGAGTTAGAAGTAACTGGGCTCAAGCCATGCCTCTAATAGGACCCTAGGCAAATCAATTAAAGTCTCAGTGCTTCAGGCAACCATTAAGACTAGAAATTGCAGAGAAAGTTTTGAACCCTGTTGGTAGAGGGGGTTTCTTAACCACAAATTTCTGATGCCAGTGAAATCATAACTTTAGTTTAAAAAATCCATTAAAACTTCATTAGTGGGGTCCTATGCATATTCTTTAGATGGCATCCAGATTTACCTTCCGTCATTTTAAATGTGAATGGCCAGAATGCTTCCCTAAACTATCCCTGTCTCCTTCATATACCATCTGCCACCATTTGCCTATATTTTGAAATCAGGAGCACCATGTCATTTGGCCATTTCTTGGCCATCTAAGGCAAAGGTATCAAATCAAATAGAAATGTGGTATCAAAAGGTATACAAAGATATCAAAGGTGATACAAAGGTATCAAATCAAATAGAGCCTCATGGGCCACAGATTGCCTTAGAAAACCACAAATTAACATTACCTAGCTTGCATTTGTTAAACATTTTTCAAATTACATTTTAATTGGGTTAGACCACACCTACGAGTTAAGCAGGCCAGGGCTTTGAGTTTGACACCTCTGTTCTAAGGTTATTTAGTTATTTATAGCAAAAACTTATTCTAGGTAAATCGTATAATTAAGATTGCCTTATTGTAGCTCACCTAGGACTAAAGAGGACTTGATTTTTTCCTGTGGATTTTATCTTCCATAAAGCTTTGGAGATACCCAGTAAAACAACTTCCTAAGGAAAACTACCTAACAATTAGAGCTGTCTAAAAGTGGAATGGCTTGTTTTGAGAGGGGTTGGGTCCCTTCTCCCCTCGGATATCTTTAGGCAGAGGCTGGATGCCCACTTGTTGGGTATGTTATGATAGGGATTCCTTTGTGTATCATTTGGATGAAGTGGCTACTGAGGTTTCTTCTAACTCTCAAATTCTAGGATTCTTGTTAGCATGCAAGAGGGGAAGGTTACCAGGAGGTGTTCACACAAAATCCATATGTACATCCCTTTTAGGTAATATCATTTTATGTGACTTCCCCTTTTAAACAAAGTGAATTAAAAGTTCCATTTTAGGATAATGGCATCTTGAATTGGCTTCTTTCTTCTAGATTCCTTGGATGCTCTTTGAGGAAAAGGATTTTTTTTCCCCCTTTGCTTACCTGGGCTTAGCATAGTGCTTGGCATACAGTAGGCATATAATATATGTTTATTGATTGATTGGTGGTTGACTTTGACATTCCTTGAATAGCCACAGGGAGGGAGAGGTGCAACAGCAGTAGGTACCACCAGGGGGTGCCAAAGGACCAGCACCTGTTGGTGTAGCAGGCTCAAGATCCCTGGGAAATAAGGCTAAAAACATTCTCAACAGTGAAGGGCTCTTCTTATGGTTTGGATTTTATATATACACTTGTAGCCTGTTAGAGCTGAAAACGGCAATGTTTTAATTTTAAAGATGAGGAAATCAAGGCCCAGAGAAGTAAAATGATTTCTCCAAGGTGCTTAGTGGTAGAGAGTCAGGTCTGGAACTCAGATCTCATGGCCAATGATCTTTCCCCTATACCCCAATACAAAGCCCCCAGGAAATTCACACGTGGGGCCTGGTAAACTACTGATCTCCTAATTGTCCTCTTCAGCTCTTTGGAGAGACTTGGGGAATTGTCTCCTTCCAGAATTTCCTGAATCACATGAACCAGGGAGCTAGTTTCACTTTTTACTAAAATCCCCATGGGGCACTTGGACTTGTCCCAGCTACCTCCAATTTGCTGATGGAAAACAAGTTTATTTTTCTAAAAATCTTTTTTCCTTGCTTCTTTAAATCTTCATGTTTCATTAGGTTCCACAGGATCCATCTCATTTCTTTCTATAGTCAGAAGGTACATTGCCGCTTTTTGGACCTATGTCAAAAGCACCAAAATCACTCATGCCAAAAAACACATCAGGGGCTCATATTTTAAACCATATTGAAAAGCCCATGCTACAATGCATGCTAAAGCCCTTCTCAAACTGATGCAGATGCGATTACTCATGTTTGAAACCTATGCCAGAGGCTTATACTAGAGTCTCTGATTTTAAAACTAATGAATAATCCCAATCCATATTATAAACCCAGGTAAAACACTTATACTGCAACATAAATTAGAATTTAGGTCAGTAGCTCATTCAGCAGGAAGACTTTTTTTTTTCCCAAGGAACAATTTGGGCATTTAACTCACCTTTTCTTTCAAGTGGCCATCGATGATTACACTTCCTCTTGAAGTGACAGCTGCCTTGCCTGGGCAGCATCTTGGATCAATGAATTTATAGCTGTCAGGGTTAATCAACCCACCCAAACACAAACAAGCAATTCAGAGGCTTGTTTCAGCTAATTCCTGCAAATGTGCAGGTTGGGTGGGCAATACTTTAACTAGGGATTCAAACAATTTTTTTGGAATTGGGCCAAGTATGATCTCACCAGTTTTTAGCTCCACTCCAGAGAGATAAGAAAAAGGCAAAAATATGGAAGATGGCTCAAAAAGGGCAACATAAAGCAAGTTATATGTAGCATTTCTTAATCAAACAGCAGTTTCCTATATATAATATGACTAGGTATCATCCCCCCTGTCTGGTCTTTATCTTGAACTCCTGCCTGGACAACTCTCACACTTGTCTCAGTGATTCAGCTCAGGGATCTTCTGTTCTTCATATTTCTTTTGTTCAATATATTCCAATGGCCTCCATAATGGAGACCTTGATGTGAGACTTCCTCCCCCACAATCCAAACTCCTACTTTCTCCCTCCCCCTCCCCCTATCTGATGGGTAGTTCCATGAATGCTATTCAGGTTGATACACATCCATTTTGTTATGAAAACATCATTCTATTAATATAAATACCCCCGGCATTTGCCAGGGCTAACTAGAACAGGTGCAAAGTCTTTGGATGCTTGCTCATACTGAGAAATGAAAAGAGTGTACAAACAGTTTTCTCTGGTGGTGGCAGTGGTGGTGTCGATGTAACATTCATCTCTCTTGCATTCCTTGATGTTCAGGGAAGATAGCCCATGAAACTTAATACGTCTGGCTTACAAGGTAGTGGCGGGGGAGGAGGAGGAGGAGGAAGAGAAAGATAGGGAGGACACTGGCTCTCAGACTGTTTATGCCAACACCCTCCCTCCTTGTTCTCTATCCCAATATGGGGCATACATACCCTCTGCCTGCTGTTGGTTCTGTTACCATGGATCGAGGGATGTTGCCAACACAAGAATTCTGCTGATCTTGAAATCAGAAGGCCGCTCAGAGGCTCCTGATGTCTCAGCTCTGTTTTTAATTTTATCTGAGTGACTGCCACTCTGTTTTGCCTCTGGTTTCAAATTTACTTTGTAGTTTCCTGGGTAAAGGGAAGCCACTGGAGAAATAGCTCACTTAAGTTCCTGTTTGTCCTTTTGCAATTTTCAGTGGGGCCCTTGCAAAGAAAGGCAGTAGTTAATTGAACTGACAACAAGAGTAAAGAGGAATTAGTAGAATGTGAGCATTTACTGTTCTTCCTTTTTGCCCTTCCTTTCTCCTTTCCTTTTCCCCCCTTCCACTGAATATTTATCAAGTGTCAACTTTGTTCAAGGCATTCTGTTTGGTCTTAAGGGAGATACAGAGACAAAGAAAATTTGGCCCCTGATTTCAAGGCACTCATGGTCAGTGGTGGGTGGGGTGGGTATGGAATAAGCTCCTTAAATGGCACTTAGTAGGCACAAATATTATCTAACTTGATACTCACAGCAACGTTGGAGAGTGGGTACTATTATTATCCCCCCCCCCATTTACAGTAGAGAAAACAGGTAAACTGAGTTTAAATGACTTGCCCAGGAATATAGTGCTAGTAAATGCCTGAAGCTAGATTTGAGCTCAGGTCTTCCTGACCAAGTGCTTTATCCACTATGCCTCCTGGCTGCCTCGAGGCAAGACATGAATATAGAGAAACAAATTAAAAAAAAAAATAGAATACTATAGGTACATAAGAAGTACCAAAAAAATATTTGGAGAGTATCCCAATACTTGCAGATTCTCATTCATGGTGGTGACTTGCTGTTTTGGATTTCCAGGATATGATATTGAACTTTTAGTGAGAGTTGATGTAAAAGATTCATTGTTACTTAGTCATGTTTGACACTCTGTGTCTCCATTTGGCTTTCTGTGGCAAAGATACTGGACTCTTTATGACTCCATTTGGGTTTCCTAGGCAAAGATACCAGACTCCTTCTCCAGCTCACTTTACAAACGAGGAAACCAAGGCAAACAGCTTTAAGTGACTTGCTCAGGGTCACACAGCTATTAAATGTGTGAGGTCATATTCGAACTCAGGTCCTCCTGACTCCAGACCCAGTGCTCTATCTACCACATGACCTAGCTGCCCCAAAAGATTCATAGAATCACAGAATCCTAAAGATGGATCAGATCTTAGAGTTTGTCTAGTCTAGTCTATACCAGAAGCATGAATGTGTCAACTAGCGCTCTTTGGGATTAACCTTTGCCATTCCTAGCTCTTCTTCCCAGCCCTACATGCCAGAGAAATTCTCAGGTAAAAGGTCACAACTAGAACCAGGTTTTAGAAGGCAAGAAGGCAATAAATATTTATTAAGAGCTTACTATGTTCAAGTCATTGTACTAAGTGCTTTACAAGTGCTAAGTGCTAAGTGGTAGTCATCTCATTTGCTTATCACAACTTCCCAAGTGCTGATATTGTTCCCATTTTATAGTTGAGGAAACTGAGCAGAACAGAGATTAAGTAAATTTCCCAGAGTGACACAACTTCTAAGTGTCTAAAGCCCAATTATAACTCAGGTCTTTCTGAGTACAGGCCCAGTGTTCTGTCTACTATATTACCTATCTAATTGCCTTTTGGACATGAAAAAAAAATTAGATTTCTATACTGAGAAATGTTTCTATGTCTCTTCACTTAGACTAGACACCCAGAAGGGGTCATCAGTACCTGCAAATGTTACCAGACACAATAGGGTGAGAAAGAGGAACAATTTTTTGTTACTCTGTATTTATAGTTTCTAGTGAATGATTTTACTGTGTCTTATAAGATCAGTGCCTTATACTTATTTGAAGCTTTATGATTTTCACATCCATTATCTCATCAGGTCATGATTGTTATTCTCTATATTTTTGAGATGAGGAAACTTGAGGTTTCAAAATTTTTCTGCCTTGTGATGCACAGGTCCTTTCAGCACATTACATTGTGTTCACATTGCTATAATCCATAATGTCTTGCAGATTTTGTATTTATCATTGCTTCTTTTATAGGGTTGTCTCTAAGTTTAAATTTTGACCTGAGGCCTCAAAACTCTTGACTGCATTCTACCTCAGATTAATTTAATTCCATTTATGTTGTAACAGAGATAGAGATATAAGGCTTGGCTGAAAAGGTCTAGCTAAATTTTAGCTAAAATCACTTTTCAGTCTATGGCAAGAGCTTACTAAAAACCTTGAAGACAGTGCTGCCACATGGGCAGGGGAAGTGGTAAGTTCAAGACGTCTGCTGTCTATGGACCAGTACCTCTGAAGAGACAGCTTGCTGAGCCCTTTTCAGGGCTGCTTATCTACCTTTGGTATCCACCTGATTCACCCAGCTCTCATCTGTGGCTCCAAGAAGCTGTAGCACATGCAACAGCCACACCATGGTAAACCATCTCAGCAGATGGGCCAAATCAGGATGAGGCAGACCGGCCTCAAATCTGTCAGTGAGCTGGGGCAGTGTCCACTCCAAGCACTGAAGAGGTGGATGAAAACAATTTGTTCCAATGGCCATGAAGGCAGCTGAAGGAGGCATTGTGGAGCACGTAGAGCTTAGTCAGGCATTGAAGACACCAGGATTATCCACTCCCCTCCACCTCCACCACCACCCCCAGGGCAAAAGTGAGGCTGTCTACTTTGTGCAATTCTACCTCACTTAAATCCAATTCACATGCAAGGCAAGACATCACACTGTGATGTCATTGGCCTTCTTCAAAAACAAAGAACAAACAACATATAGGAAAGTTCTAAAAAAAAGAAAAAAGAAGAAAGTTCTGAAGCCAGAGATCTTGAACATTCAAAAGAAAAATTAAAAAAGTGATATGGATTCCACCAATTTGAAACATGTCTTCTGGTCTCTGTGTAATGCTGAAGAAAAGTGGCATAGAGTAGGCCCTTGCCTTTCTCCAAAGGAAGCACTGAAACGAAAGGTATATAGATGTAAGGGCACCTAGAGCAAAATAATATTTTTCTCTTTTGAGGGCCAGTAGTATCATAGAGTATATAACGTGCTGGGAGTGGCAGGGCAGGGCTGAAGAAGAAGAAAGTCTATATTTTCTAAGTGGGCAAGAAGTCCCAAGATATTGACAGGAGCTAATGGGACCACTACAGGAACCCTACCTTCAAGGTAAAAAAGTCCACCCCATCACAAATGAAAGGGAACAATGACTTCACTATGAAGATCTCAAAAAGAGTTCATGATTTTAAGAGAACTCTTAAGATGAGGGATAGTGAGTACCATTTTGAATACATTTCAATGAAGTTTAAGGATAATGAATTCTGAAGGTCACATGGCGACAGTTATCTCCTCCAAGTATATGAGTATGACTAGGATGACATGTTTAAAAACTACACGAATTCTTTTAGATCATAGGACCATTTAATACATTATTCCCTTCAACAATACTCTAATGGCCTGAAAGAATAAGCCTCATTTAGTGTCAAGAATCCACTTATAGCCAGGAAGAATCAGATTCAAACAGTCCCAACAAAGGCTGTGAGATGAAATAAGTAGACCTTAGACATGGACTTGGAAAGATGTTATAAAAATTTCAAAAGGCCTTTACTTCTGATGATTTTAGCATGTCACCTTACTCTACTGTAGTAGAGGTCTACAAACTGCGGTCTAATGAAATCAGTGCTGAACTTAGAACCAAGAGACCAGCACTGGAATTCCACCTATGACGTTTTCCTGAATGGGTGACTCCCAGACAACAGTTAGACTCTTTGAGTCCACGTTTCCTCACCTGTAAAATTATTCTGATTTCTAGCTATTCCAGATTTCTACACTTTATCCAGGATCCTTTTTCTTTTTGAGAGCACATAAAGAAGTCTTATAGTAATGTCAAAAAAGCCAGATAGGACAGATGAGATAGAATTTCCACTATAAAATAGTAATTTTAAAAGGGCCTTCACTCTCAATATTTTTAACATGACACCTTCCTATATCAAAAAGTTATCTTCAAAATAAATGTATGCATTCATTAAAAAAAGTAGCCCCGCTAAGGCCATAGATAGAACAATTTAGAATATCATTCTACTTGCCCTGAAATTGAAATTGAATGTGAACAACTTGAGGTTTTAGCGGAGGTGGAGAAAACCTTGGTCCCACTGTTGCCCACTTGTTTTTTAAACTGTTTTACTCAACTCCAAGTCGTCTTTGGTGGTCAGCTGAACTGCAAATCAAGAAAGCCCAATGTTCTGTCTGAGTCCTACTATTCCAAAGTATAGCAGCCAAAATTACCTGTGACCTTTCCCAGTAGTATGAGCAGGAACCCCTCTTTGGGAGTGTAAGTGATAAAGAAATTTGGACTTCATCTTTTCATGGGTTTGCTCCTAGGAATGCTTATTGGCAGGATGCTAAGAATAAACCAGTTATTGAAGAGGGGACCTGGGAAGTTGACAGGCATGGCTAAACCCAGCAGGGAAATTTGATGAGGAAATAAGATGCTTTGTAGATGCTGTGTAGTGATTAGTCTTTTGAATGCAGGGATTTATTTTATAAGTGAGAGGGGGAAGGGAGGCTTATTGTACCTCACAGATACCACTTATACTGCTATTCTTCAAGCTAATGAGACACATAATGCCACATTTGTTTATCCATTTCTAGTGAAATCACTTTCTGTGGAGTATTTTAATGAGATTGAAAGCCAGAAGAGTCAAAGCAGCAGTGTTTTTTTTAAGCTAAAAAAAAAGGAGTCAAAAAGAACAAGAATGAAAACCACAGTTAATATCTGTTCATGTGACAAGTTTCTTTAAACAGAAAAGATGCATTTGGGAAACTGGTATTTATTTTTCTCTCATAGTCAAGAATGGTTGGGTGAGGGCTAACATGGAGACTCATAGCTGGCTGAGGGATTGCTCCATGATTAAGGAGAAGTGAACACCAGAAACCAGGTGTGAATTGTGTGCCTTCTGTTAAGAGCTAGTGAATATGGTCTTTGCCCTAGGGCATGGACATTTAGAGGGGGCACTGAGAGCACTTTCAGCCATCAGTAGTTTAAAAACATCCGAGCTTAGCACATAGTCAGCA